GATGAAAAACTTAGCTTCAAACTCGCTTCATTTTGCTCCCTTATTAATATTGCATTTAAATTTAAGGTTTTAGAGAATTGATGAAGCCTTTTCATGTGCTGAGTAGCAGATTTTGGAAGTAATGACACTTACCAGCGCATTACATTTCCCCACTCATTTTTTACCAACAACTCCACTATAATGGCTTTGAGAGGAGTACATTAACCACAAAATATTGAAAGGATTAACCCTTTACATGCAGTATTAAGTACTTTTTTGCATGCATAAAACCAGTGAACGCAATAGGGTTTATTTTGCCAAAGACACTTTTTCTCACGTGGATGGCAGGCAGTACCACAGGCATTCCCTTCTCCTCACAATCGATTCTTTTTATGATAACACTCTTTTAACCAATAAATTATTTTACTTAGAAGAACACAGACATAACTTAGAAAAGACACATCAAACAACTGACGACAAACTGCTTAATTTTCCGCCAGAGAACTACGCTGGATGATTCACCACTGACTACGAAAACCAAAAAAGAAACGAGTTTCCTCATATTACTTTGACTTGAACTTAGTTAGCCCTCTACTATAACACTGAACTCACAGCCTTGACTGATAATTTCACTAAACATCACAATCTGTCTCTATTTTTTTCCTCCAATTCCTTAGCACTTAGCCATCCAGAACATTTTATCTGCATTTATCTTTTACTTAGCTCAGGCCACTTACTAGCAAATAACATTACCGACTAAACATAACTCTTGTGACAAGCTCTTGTGTTAAACAGCTTTGTCAGTATGGAAAGGACTTTCATAAAAGCGTGTAATGTCAGAAAATTCTTACGACGACGCGGCGGTTGTGCGGCGCTCATTAGTATGTCAGATACTGCATTCCCTGTGGGGATATGGCAGCCACCGCCTGCATCGCCAAGTGAAGCGCTGACAGCTGTGACATCAAATCACTATTTGAAAGCGTAGCTCTTCCCTACGACACTGTGTCATCATAAAAAGGGGGCCATACCTGCTAGTGTCTGTGCAACATGACTCACATCACGGCAGCCAGTTGCTCCAATCTGAAGAATGAAAGCGGGTAGGCGGAAGGTGGGGGCTACGGGATCTGTGGCATTGAGAGAGGGGAGGAAAGAATGAAAGAGAAGATGTACAACACAAAGAATTTAGAATGCTGGGGAGCAAAGGACAGTTGTAGTATTACATGAAATAGGGGGGATTACACATGAAGACATCAGTTTATCGGTGAATGAATTGATTAACATCCATCCATCCATCCATTATCAATACCGCTTATTCCCTCATGGGGTCGCGGGGGGAACTGGAGCCTATCCCAGTGGTCTGAATTGATTAACATAAATGTAATTATTGAAAACACACTCAATTTGATATAAAAAAGTATGTCCACATGATAATCTGATATAGGGAAGAATGGGATTCCAGCATTGTGATACCCAAACACTTTGATCATTAGGCAGGGATTCAAACAGAGCTGATTGTGCTCTGTTAACCACAAATTTTCCGAAACCAAATTCCATCCAAAGCAGCCAGACTGATAATTGTATTCTTAAATACCATAAACAGAGATATGTCAGTTAACATCTTGGCTCTGTGCCATCTGTCATCAAAAGAAAAATGATAATAGCTAACAAAAAAAAAAACTTCAAGCACCAGGTGATAAAGTGTCATACCAATTCAGAAACAGGTTAACATGCATACACAATGCACATGTTAGCATTTGAGTCTTCATGCTTGCATTTGACATGCCACCATCAAACAGAACTAGCTTCAAAACAGTCAGCAGAGTGATTCTTACAGGCTGACTTTCCTGCCTTAGTTGTGTGATCAGTTTCTTTTTTTGGAATCGCATAAGAGCACGAGAATCACTTTTCTTAATGGTTCCAAAAAAAAACCAAAAACTGCTTTCAGTGTGTTCCAGGAGGAAACAAACTGAGAAAATCCAGACACCCTGAATACTTCCAAACAGATTTGAGATGAAGACGAGAGGATTTGCAAGATTTACAAGATTTGTTCTGGACGGTTAAAATGACATTTCTCTGTAAATAACTCAGAAGTGTGATACTTGATGACTTGGATGTTTATCTCTCAAGGCAAAACTTTGAAGTCATTCATGATATCTACCCACTTCTTTAATGTCTTTGTGATTTTGTATTACAGATTAAGCAGATATGTGTTTTTAACTTTGTCACAGGTGTTGTAATTCATCTGTTGTGTGAATGAGAGGCTGCATCTGCAGGGATTAGACTTTTCCTCATGATGGCTGATCCACTTACAGCCAAACAGATTTTTAAGCCAGGTCTGCTCTTGTCCAAATCCAGAGAGGATTTCACTACAAATTGATGTGGTCCTTTTTACAATGACCCAGCCTGAGTACTAACAGAGCCTCAATAAATCAAAGCAATCACAAGGAGATATGGAAGAGACTTTGCTATAAATCCCACTGGGATCATAAATGCACAGAGCCTAAATGCATCTGTGTGTGTGTGTCTCTCTCTCCTTCTCTTTCTCTCTCACTCTTCCTACCATCTACAAAGTACGCCCCTCAATGCCACTTAGGAAAACACAGCAAAATAATAATTATAAACCTAAATAAACATACAACATTATAATCAGATGGATGCACACACTGCTGATACATACAATAAAAGATGGGTCTTTGATGCAAACAGGCTCTTAATGAATAAAATGTCAACTGTGCTGCAAAATTAAACACGTTAAAAAACACGCTGCATTCAGCCCAGATGACACAAAACATGATGGATCGTTTTCTCTTTGCGACTGACTACAACTCTGCGCTAGCACGGTTTCACACCACAAAGCTTCAAACAAGCATATAGCATGGTCGAAAAAGAAAATGTCAACAAAACAAAACGAAAAGCTTAGGGAAGAGATACACTAAAAGCTTTTATATATGTCTGCAATATTTTCCAGCCATAAAGTTCCCCCTTTGATCCGAATGGCATTTTAATGTGTCTTATGCACGCCACATGTCGACCACCCAGATGAAAATGGCATTCTGAAAAGCTTTAAAAGAAAATTTCTTGCATGAGGCTAAGGATGATTTAAGATATGCACATATTTTTTCACTCATGTTGTCTTATTTCTGAATGTGCCTTGTCTTATTCTTTTCCTCAACTTTGAGGTGTGATGGAAGAAGCAGGACCAGCAAGGAATGCATCAGGAATGTGCCAGTTGAAGTTGGATTGTTCACTAATTCATGAATCCATTCATTCATTCATTCATTCATTCATTCATTCATTCATACAAAGTTACAGGACCATTTGAACCGGTGCAGACAGCTGCCTGCAGATTTTGTACACCATTTATAATGGGCTTCATAATTATGTGTTGGATGCTCAAAGTTATCTGTTGCATAAACATATGCCAGCTCTGTGGCAGCCAAAAGCCCAGCCTCCCCATTCTTGACAGAGGAAATGAAATTGTCAAGTCACTCTCTAAAATATTGTCATTAAACTTTATGACATGAATCTGTGCTCACCTGTTGCTCATTTTTGGTTTATATCCACTAACACAAGCGTAGGCGGTAACAGTGGTTACAAATCATCTTAAAATACTACTAGCAATCGAGCACTTGTAAAGATCTGTTTTTTGATCTTTGGTCCATTTCTGTGTATTGTTTCATTATAATTGAAAAACTCCTGTGATGAGGCAGAGAATGCTCAGCAGTAGTTTACACAAACAAAACCAATAAAAAGCTTGTCAATAGATCAGGTGTTTTTGCCCCTTGTGTCTAAGCACATCAGCACTGGCACATTTCATTTAGCACAAAATGTCATATATTGGCTTTTGCATGTTCTTAAAGTTATGGACATCCAGATATGAGTGATGGATTTAACTTTCTGGTCTATCAATTCCTCCTTTCTAGATCCATTTTTCCACTCACAGCCAGTTCTAATCATCAATGCTCACCTTAATTTCCATTTACGCAGTGGTGATATTTAGGAGTATTTTCATGCATTAATTCATAATTGTTTTCTGTCAATGTTTTCTATAAATATGTTTTTAAATGTATTCTCCATGGTCAATAATGTTTGGTCATCCTGGAAAGGTGCCTGTTAAACTTTTGGTTGCTTGGTTATTCTGATTGAACCTCCTGCATGCAATTTAACAGGAAAACAGGTCATTTTGGACATATGGATTAATTTTTTGATCTTTGTAGTTGTCTTATCATTAATTAATTGATAAGTCGTATCAAATACAGATATTTGGGTAATGGTAAGTTGGTGAAGTACTCATAGTAGTCAGCAGAAATTACTGACTACAGGGACAGGCACACTACTTGTGGCTTTTTGCTATCCCAGATCTTGTGTAGATTTATCTAAAACACAATTTAGTGCTTTAGTAACTCTATTTTCATAAAAATAGTCTGCCTTTAGGTCACAGATGTCCCCTGTGCCACATTTCTATATGGAGATGATCCATGCCTAATGAAATATTCCAGACAGTTTTAACCTTTTATTTGAATCATAACATACATTGTTAGAATTACTGTTGATGTTAAAATGCAGGTGCTTTGTTACACCCCAACTGAAACTCCAAAGGGGTCACAGTCTTAATGCTGCAAACCTTGAAAAATTGTATGAATGATATTGTGCTTCCTCGCCAGATTGAATGTCTTTATCCAGGCCTGCTTCATCACTGAGGCCAATGGCAGTGCAGCATTCATGTTAACCAGCAGGAGGAGAAGTTTGAGGGGTCTTTAGATCTTTTAGCCCCCACCCATGGCCCTCCTCTGTCTCACGCTGCTCCTGAAGTGCAGGCTTCTTGCACAAACTTCATTCCACTCCACAGAGGGGTAACATATGTTGGAGACCTGCCAGAGGGAAATCAGAAGGGAAGGACAAAGCAGCTTTTGGACTGGACTATTTGTATTTTTCAGAGGGATTATTTAATTCAAGAGAGATTCTATGTGTATTTGAATGGTGTGAGAGTGGCAACTTGTGAGTGAAAAGTAAAAGTAATCATGGACATGGATCAATCCTTTCCTGTGAACTTCCCTGTTCTGGCCTTTGTCCTCTCTGTACATCTGCACTGCCATCCTCTTGCATGGGCCGCCATGGACTCGTGTTATGACGAGGAGGGAGCCCCAAGCGTTTGCATGCCCAGGTTTGAGAACGTTGCTTTCAACCGGACGGTGGTGGCATCGAACGTGTGCGGTTCCCCGCCCGAGGACTACTGCATGCAGACGGGCTCAACGCGAGCGTGCCACTACTGCGATGCGTCGCATCCCCACCTGAGCCACAACGCCAGCCTCCTGAACGACTTCCACAGGAACGAGGAACCCACGTGGTGGCAGAGTCAGTCCATGTACTATGGTATCCAGTTTCCCAAATCTGTCAACCTCACCCTGCACCTCGGTAAGAGCAGCGTTGTGTTGTTTTATCGTTTCGTTTAGAGACCTTAAAAGCTTTGCAAGTGGAATTAGTTCAATATGTCTAGGGAAAAGAGCACAAAGGTGTGATCTCAAATCAATGCATGTCAGTTGTTCTCACACCAACTGGATTTGACATCATTAACTTTTCACTTTTTTCGCAGCCGGTGTCTTGATGCTTTATTTTGTGTGCTGCAAGCCCATGGGGGATGGGGCAACTGTTAATTTAAAACAGATGTCCTGAATCACACATGATTTGCGTTATTGGGTCTAGACTTATCTTCATAAAATCCAATGTAGCCCAAACATAGCTTTGGTTTGCATTTTTCATTGAGGCACTTTTGACAATTTTGTTGATTTATACTGTGTATCTGCTTGTAGAGTGTAAAGGATTTATATCCCTGCACAACAAAGATATTCAGTTGGATCATAAAGAACAGGAATATTCTGTCCTTTTTTCTCTTAACTTTTTTATTTCATTCCAAATCAAGAAAAAAATAAAATAATAATCAGGATACAATCAATAATTTCAATTCCAACATAGTATATAGACACAGTATATAGACTTTCATATTAGTAATTTCACACTGTGATGTTAAAAATTCAACCTTATGTCCTACCCAACAGGTTAAATGCCATGTTTTTTCCTGTGTCCTGCAGTAAAGCTCTGGGTTTGACAGAAGCGTATTGGTGATAGAGAGGGTGGGGGTTAGGGAGGGTGCCCTGGTGGGGGACCAAAGTTAGTCAGGCATTTCCATAAAATACACTCTGACTTCAAAATTAACACTTGGTTTTCAGGGAAATGAATTTTATTAACCTCCCAGCAATAGTCCTTTTTCCAAAGCCACATATTCATTTTCAGATCACTCCGAGGAAAGTTTTTACAGAAGTGGAGAAATAGCTCATAGAGAGCTGAGCTAAATCTAGTGTCTACATTTTTTTTAGGAGGAATCCAATATGTAATCTAATACCATAACTATAGCTAAATATGTACAGAGCAACCTATTTCGCCTGGATCACCTTAAACCTCCAATATATTTGACATCCCAGAGGCTTCAAACAGGATTGAAGAAAAAATTATGGAATCCACCTGGATCAGAAATCCTATAGTGTGCATAAGTAAAGGTTTAGGCTGTCAATGAACAAGTCAACGCAGATTTTTACTATCATTGTTTCCATGGGAACATACTTTTGTCAACCATGAACATCATTATTAAGATAATTCTCACTCAGGCCTGCAGCTTGAGTAAGAAACAAGATTTCACTTGCTCTTAAAAGCTTCATAGATGAATAACAGATCACAAATGATGTCCTGAATTAATTATGGCAAATAATGTTACACATTATCAACATGATTGTATGATTTCTCTTGATGCTTCTGTAACAAAAGTGTGGCAAAGATTGTAGGTAAGAAAAAAATTACAAATCATTATAACCAAATTGACTTATAACCTGTTAACCTGTACTTTTAGTTTCTTTCCTCATTCAAATAATATTTTCTCAAATTCTGAATTCTTATCGGACGGCAGCAAAAGCCAATAGTTTCCCCCCCCCCCCACTTTTGGACTTTTTAACATCTTTGACAAACCACATGATGGTTGACTTTGTAGCATTTGTGTAACCTTGGTGACATTCAAACCAAAAAAGACACCCATGCACAAACATAGATTTATACACACAAATAAAAAAGGTGGGAAAACAGAACTCCACTTTGGCTCTATCTTGACTGAGGCATCAGGAGATGTCAGCGATAACATTTCTGCCGAAGGCAGGTTGTTACCAAGACGACAAACCCATGTAAAATGAATCTGAACACTCAACAGCACTTCTGAAAAGGAAAATAATAGCTTGAAGAACCTGCCCACAAAGCCAACAAAACTAAGCTTTGTCAGGTACACTGAGGTGAAACGTTGAATGTTGTTTGAGGGGGAGAAGAAGATACCTTCTCCCACTGGGAAAAAATCTGGAAGAATTTGGAAGAAAAAGAATGTCTACATATATATGTATATATATGTATATATAATTATATATATGGGGCCGAAGACTTTTTAACACTGTCAGTAAACTCTAATCATTAAAGACAGACAAATATGATTACTAGGTCTTGGATTTGGTTTATAAAATCCTTGAATCAATTCTTAATTTAATAGTTCTGCCAATTTCAGCACTATATGCATGAAGAACCTGGCTGCACAACAGTGGTTTTAGACAACTCATCTCACTAAAACTGAACCACAGGGATCATTCATTCACGTTGGTTGGAGGCTGTGCAGTCTGAGCAGAGAGGGAAAATTGACAGAAGCATCAACGTTGCCACACCTGAAGGCCTGAAAATGTTTGAAAGAAGCAATGACTAACTTTTGAAAAGATGCCTCAACAAAATTTGTATGTGTCCTTCTGATTCCTCTGGGAAATAGGTGCTCCCTGTCCAAAAGCTGTGGTGTAAATATAATGACAGAATTTGAAAATGCCAGAGCTCTGACCATGGATGAACGGTTAGATCACATGGTTTGAAAGCAGGAAGTGCCTCCATCAGATGTAGGATATTGATTTCCAATAGCAAGCAGATGTCTGGCTCTGTTCTGAGGCTTTGTTGTTTATATTCTCCTGCTAGTTCTTTTCCTGGAGAGAGCTGGCTTTGCTCCCGCCAAAAAAGTGTTTTCCGTGTTACCAAGAAGTCTTGTTTTTCTTAAAACAAACACCCACATGTCTGTCTACCCCAGACTAAAATGACCTGTGCTCCTAAGATTTCCCTGTCTAAACTTTGTATTCTTAAATGAGAACTAAATATCCACAAATCCTCCATATGTGTGACATCCTTCTGTTGCATATGAAAGCTTTGAGGTCCATCTGGGCTGCTGGCGGGGGGTGCTGTCGACATTACTGCTGTCTTTCCCCTCTCCAAACAAAACAAGCTCTGACTGAAAGGAAACAAGGCAAATGCTAGGATGATAAACACAGCACTAGGATGCAGGGACACACATTTCAGCCAGGCCAGCGTGGGTCTGCGGTTTGAGCAGAGAGAAAGGGTTGAGTCAGGCTTCTTCCAGGGGGGCTAACAAAACACAACGAGGAAGAAAGGATGAGGACAAAAATAAAGAAAATGCCGGTTTCATGGTAAGGAATTGGGGTCAGGTTTTTCCCGAAAATAAACACACACACACACATTCTATCAGCACACACTGCTAATACACAGCTGGTTCTCATTCAGCACAGTCAAAGAAAAGCAACATCCTGTCTATGATGTGAAATGACGATAAAAGTACGCCACAGTTGGCATGGAGCTCTCACGGCCAGACCATTGGTTCACATTGGAGAAACAAACCTCTATTTTGCGAGAAAAAATGTTAATTTCTGAACTTTGAGACGTTGCCTGACTGTGTCGTGAGAATATTTATGCATTTATTTAAAGCCTACAAAACTCTCAGACTGCAGGGTAAACAAATCGTGAAAGGTATACAGCCCTTTTGAGGAGTTTAGTCTCAGTCTGGGCAGACAGCGACAGCTGTGTTTGGTTGACATGGATGACTCGGAACAGGGCAGGCGGTGGAGTCCATCTTATACCAGCATCCTCAGTAATCAGTGTCACTCCACTGAATTCATAAGCGAGCACAATCACCACAAACATAAAGAGGTGCATAATTCACTATCCGTGGTGTGGAGTTATGCGGGGTGTATTGGTGGGTTTTCAGTATTCAGAAACCTTTGACTTGCTCTCAGCAGAGATCTGTGCTTCAAAGTGAACTGTCAAAACTAATAAAGCAAGTCTTTTTTTTTTTGGTGCAAAGTAACTTGAAATAATTACAATCCCCATCTGCTGTGACCATATAACCTAATGATTGAACACTGTTGTGCCCACAACAACTAGTGAATACATTAAAGGCTGAGCTTGATTCACAAATCATTAAACATTAACCATTGAAACATACAAATATCCTTTGCAATTAGTCTGCATTTCATCATGGTGAGTATCCAGCAAATGTTTAATCTTCTGTGTCTTTTATGTTTTTTGCCTCAGCAGGGCTAAGCTCACCTCATGCAGGGAGGAAATGAAAGCTAAATGATCTTAGAGCTCCTAGACGAAAGATTCCATTAAAGATTTCAAGAGAGACGAGCCTTAAAGATGCCTGATTCTGACTTGGCAGAGAAAAAGCAACAGATGCTATTATGGCCATATCTGCTGATGGAATCCCTCTATGTATGTGGAGAGCTACTGAGGCTTAGTGCCTAATGATGTAGATGAAAACACCCAGGAGTGCACTGAAGATGCCCGTAAAGAGGGCTTTAACATGTTACTTTTCATCATAGCTTCAATATGACTTTAGGTAGTGTCTGCCCAGTTAATCCCCTTTTAAGCTGTACAACAGTTGGCACATGTGCAAGTATGTTGGCATTCCACAAACATAACTCTGTAAGCCTCCATGATACGGCACTGAGATTGTTGTTTGAATTAAATAGCGAGTAAACATGATGAGAGGAAAAGGCCCTCCTCAATCAAAAGCACTCATCTACTCTGTTTGCTTAAAGATTAGGAATGAAGATGTCACCTTTTTTACAAAACCAAATTAGGAAAACAGCTCTGCTGTTAATCTCTTAGGTTCAAATTGCAGCTGTCTATACAGAAGGCATTGTAAAGATAATGAATCCATTAATTCAAGCCTACTCAAGGTACATTATGTGCAAAATAATTGAATAGGACAAAATAAAAGTTCATCATGTCTTTCAATTAACTTAATTATGAGGCCCTCTCATTTTACTTTGAACATCCTCAGCTAATTGCAGCAACAATTAAAGTACAACCTTGTTACATCTTTAAATCTCCCAAAACCAACCTAATGCTTCAACATCTTCCCATTTCTGTTGTGAGACTGTACACAGAAATACATTTGTAGGTTTAACAAACTGACATTAATTTCGGGGGAAAGACCTCTTTTTCCTTCGCTCTATTCTCCTCCTGCTCTGACACACTATACCAATAGAACCCTTTCAACCATTTAGATCATGAGTAGTGTGGCCTGTGGGCAAATGGTGATCCTTAGTGGCATTAAGTGCAACCCAGTAATATGATATGAAATGCATGCACTGTTGAATAATCCAGTTATGTACAGTTCGTGAAAAAGCGGAGCAGAAGGAAGAACCTTGAATACTTTCACTCTGCTCACAATTTCTTTAGACGGCTAGAATTCACAATTAAGATATGAATAGCTGTTGTGAGGAAATTTGACAGCCACTTCTTAATGTTGAACAAACTGCAACTACTGCCAGCTGAATGCCTCTCATGTAAACCTGAACTGTTTTGGCATTTTTACATATCCAGTCCCAAAGTTTGCTCTTGTTAGGCTTTGGTTGTTACATGATGATTCACCATGGTGGAGCAACAATGAAAAATCATTCTTTGCACGTGAGTTTTTTTAGTTGTTTTAAAGGGAATAGACTGTATGTTTAAGTGTTGTGGCACTCTATGTATGAAGTGTGAATGTACCAAAGCGGGCAGCATGGTGGTGTTGTGGTTAGCCCCATCACCTCACAGCAAGAGGGGTCCCGTATTTAGTCCCCATGGGACCGGGACCTTGTGGCCCCTGCAATGGCCTGGCGACCTCTTCAGGATGTACCCGCCTCTCGCACATTGTTGGTGGGAATAGGCCCCAGCCCCCTCACAGCCCGTTGGGAATCGGCAGTATAGAAAAATGGATGGATGGATGTAGTAAAGATAGAACAGAAGTCCTGTAAGCTGGTAGGTAAAGATGTGGGGATCAGTAAGGTCTTCCAAACCCAACCAGTGGGGAGGAAATGCTATCCGAGAACGGCAGTTCAGGAGGCAGAAGCAAGTGTTAGGCAAACAGAGATTGTGGGAAATGCTCAAATAGGTCGGGGAGGCTTGGGGCTTGGTCCAGGCAAATCAGTATGGAGTAGAGCAGGTCCCAATGAAAAGAGAAAGGTGTAAAGAAGAAAAAGCTTAGTTGGAAAGAAATGTGGAGTATGGAGTATGAAGTATTAGTTTTTTCATAGGGGCAAAACATGATACATTGCCGACTCCCCAGAACCTAAAACTCTGGGTAAATTGGGACCCACAATTTTCAATATGTTCAGGTACTCTGGCATATTTTGTCAGGCTGTAAGGTTAGTCTGTCAAAGGGCCGTTACACATGCTACATAACCGAGTATTGAGAAGCTTAGCTACAGGTATTGAAGACAAGCAAAGACAGGTGAATTTAGGAGGGTCTAAGGTGAAGAGTGTGGCAATTCAGCTAGTTCTAGAGGGGGAGAAAGTTAAAAAGACAATAAGGAAGATGGACAGCCTAGAGGATGCATGTGATTTGGCGATGCAGGTAGATTTAGGGAGAAAGCTTGTTGTTTCCCAGGATATACCCTCAACAAATCAAAGGCTTGATGTATTCTTGTGGTTAAGGAGTAGAATGAGAGTATTTCACTGAGCTGACTGCTCGCTGGACGGACTTAGAAGAAGAAGAACATGAAAGGAAATAGCTGAGGTATGTAGAATTAGAGGCAGAAGCAGAGCAGAGAGGTTGGGAAGTTAAGATTTGTCCAGTGGAAGTAGGATGTAGAGGATTTGCTGCAAAGTCTGCTGTCTCATTGTTGAAGGAGTTAGGTGAATGTGGAAGCAGTATTAGGAAAACCAGGGAGAGGAAGTGTCCGTAAATGCAGTGAAATGCCTGACTAAGCCCTTTCTGCAGCCAGGTGACCGTCTTGGGTCAGCTGACCCTGTATGGCCTTGCAACTGTTGATGCTCTTTATGACTGTGGGACTGTTTAGAATTTGTAACAGGCCTTTAGTTGAGTTCAGTTGGTGTTTAGGTGTTTTGTCTTTTGTTTATATTTATATTTTTTGTTTTATGTTAAGTTTATGTCCTGCCTCCACCTAAGATTGCAATGTCCTATTCTGCTACAATTCTTTCTTCATGATTTCTGTCATAAAATAAGTTAAGATTACATTACATAATTGAAATGGTAACCGTTATGACCTTAGTAAACAAATGACATGGTTGTTGGAGCTTTGTTGAAAGAATTCTTCTCCCGTCCCACTTATTAAAACTTTGACAACCCCTCCTTTGGACATCCCACTGTTTATACTATTTTTTAATTCCATTACATATTTACCTCTTATGCTGCTCAAGTTTTGATTAAATCAACCTCAGTTCTATTGATGAAACTGCCTACTTGGCTTTCCATCTCAAATATTGAATCAAACTGCTGATCTGGTAACAGGGTCAGACATTTTCTTCGATCTGTGATTTTTACAACCACTGGCCTTTTTTTAATGTTACATTTCAGTGTGAAGAGAAAAAAGCTTTTTCCTTTTCAGCTGATTTCACTTTTGGGGCTCATTATAATCTGGATATTGAGACAACAGTGCTGGTAATGTCTCTCCCCCTGCAGGAATGACATTCATTTAGCATACAGGAAGAGGAAATTAAGTCCATCAACTATCCCTCTAATGCAGTTCCTGGGCACTTAAACTATCACCCCACAGTATCTTACATAACAGAGCCAATCTGATTATACAACAGTGATGGATCTTGTTTAAATAGAAATAATTTTCCCTGATTCTATTCAAGGCTAATACTGTTTGTTTTCCACAGGGAAAGCCTTTGAGATAACCTATATACGACTGAAGTTCTACGCCAGCCGGCCGGAGAGTTTTGCCATTTACAAGCGCACAGAAGAGGACGGGCCCTGGTTACCTTACCAATATTACAGTGCCTCTTGTAAGAAGACTTATGGGAAGGATGCTAAAGGTTACATTCGCCCAGGAGATGATGAAAGGACTGCTTTATGTACAGACGAGTTCAGTGATATCTCTCCCCTCACTGGAGGAAATGTGGCTTTTTCCACCTTGGAAGGTCGACCAGGTGCATACAACTTTGACCAAAGCATTTTGCTGCAGGTGAGCATCCATTCTACTATGTTCAATGCCTTACTATGATTCTTATGTCCGCATTGTACCTTTTTGCATTCACATATAACAGGAGAGAAAATTCATCCTATATATCCATGATGGGTAAGAGATTAATCCAGTTTCTATTCATGAAACACACCAAGTATTTAACTTTTTGCTTCCTTTTGATGCATGCCCTCGCAAAATCTTAGAGACAATCCATAATAGATGATAGATGCTCCTGCTTTTGACCATTTTTAAGAAAGTGAACATATTTACATTTGGGAATGTGCCATCCATATATATATGTATGCATGCCTTTAAGCCTTTTTAAAATCAGTTGAAGTGAATCTAATGTTTATCTCTGATTAACATTGATGAAGCCTTGAGAGGGCTGTTCTGCATTAATGGTAGCCCCTTAAGGGTAAGCCCGGGAGGGGTGGGCACATGAATCGTAGCTGAAAGTGACTAAATAAAGCACCAAATGCAGCTACTGATTTTACTTTGTCAGAGCTGTAAGCAGAGGATGCATTCATGTGAGCAGGTCTCAGCTTTGCTTTCAGTAAATTTGCAATGGATAAACATCTGAACATTAAATGTTCTTATTAGAACAGAGATCCCACAGAACCGCTAAAAACAATGCAAATCAGAAATAAATTGATGTAAAAATACCGTCCAGTATTACCTCAGACTATAATGATAGTATTAGAAAATACTTGATTCTCTGTCAGATGCGGAATTCTGCGGTATTCCACTGATTTTGAGACAGATATTGATGGTTCACTTTTCTAAAATTTCAGTGTTCAGATGGATAATTTTGAACTTATGCAAAACAATTCGATGCAAGATGAAAAATGTCCCCCTAGAGCAACTTAGGGCTTCATAAATCTGTTATGTGGGAAAACTTGGAACGGAAAGAAAGTGCAGTGTAATGACAGACTTTTCTGGAGTTATGAGTTCAGACAGAGGTTGAGCTAAACAGAGACGCGTGTTAATGTAAGTTTCAGACGTCTCGAAAATGGTTGTTCAAGGTATGCTAACATACAGCCATTCTGTTCAGCCTGTCCACACTTTCTGTTGTCAAAAGTTTCATCCATGAGGAGCTGCTGCTTTTTTTGGTGTGATAAAAGTCAGGTTTTTGTCCATGAAGTTGGTGACTGTTAGAGCAACTGTCAGTTTTTAGTCTAACATGAATGACAGCAAAAAAAGTGGAAAAAAGGGGAATTTTAAAACTATACAGACCATTTGTATTTGAAGAGGACCTTTATTTCCCTTGGGAAACAAATTTAGAATACTTTATATATTCAATATTCCTGTCAAATTATTGTAATCATAGACCCTTTTTCTGAAGTTGAGAGGGAGTATTGAAATTCACCTTGCAATTTTAATTTCTTAAATCATATCCATGTCTAAATTTATGCTAATTGGTCTGCATTTAAAGTTTGAAACGACTTCAAAGAAAATTGACAGTTGCTAGGTGGTTGAAGAGTCGAGACTGCAGAAAATGGTGTTCCTTCATGCACAGCCGATAAACTGAAAAACTAACAGATTTGTTTATAAATCACAAAAATATTTTTTTGCTTATGTTTGAGATTACTTTCTGCAAAATTAGTGGACGAATCTAAGTGAATAATGTCACTTAAGAACAATGTTCGAGTTTTTACACCTAACCAATTCTTTTTCACAGCTTGTTAAAAGTGACAAACAGCTGTGTATTTGGTTTCACGCATGAACTGGAAATTTTGAAATTAATCTCCAAATATGAAGCTGTGTCATCTTAGAAATGTACGAAAAACCACGGTTTGCCTCATGTTACCCTGACACGAGCAACAATAACTGCAAAACTCACCGGCTGAAGACACAGCAAAACAATGACCCTGGCTTGAATGAAATGACAAGAAACCTTTTTTTAGATCTTCCACCTCTGTCAAAACATGATTCGGGGGTTGTGGACAACTTATGAGCCTCCCACTGGCCATTTTGCTTCTCTCCACTGCTCCATACAGTATGATGCTATTTTTATTTCACATCTGCACAACAACAACAAGTATTCCCTCTATGCAGAGCATATGTAGTTAAAGAATGGTTTAATTCAATTTGAGAGGAATGAACTGGTGATCCTACAGTTATTACCTCTGTGCATGTCCTCATCAAAACAATAATAAAACATGTCATATCTTCCTTTTTTTTTTTACTGAAGCTCAGTGTAAATATATTTCTGGTAAAAGCAAGACTAGACTAGCACCTCTGTGAAGAAAGCTGTCCTCCTCCACATCATTAAATAAGAAGAGTAAGTGAGGATATGTGGGGGATTTGCAGTGTAACCTGGCATAACCAGAACTTGGAAGGTTTTTTTTTTAATCACATATTCTGCCAATATACCTTCTTTTCTGCATACAACTATTAGAAATTGATTTCAAGGTTATTTAGCTTCAGAGTAAATCATGTTCTGTCGGACATATTTTTCCTTTGCCAAATATGTCAAAATATCTGCAAGCCTGACACTGATTGTTTCAGTTTCTTGCAATTATTTGTACGCTTAAAGTCACTGGAATGTCGAATTTAAGAGGGATATGTGGAGGTGAAAACTACCCATGCTCTTTACGCTAACATATACCTAAACTCCGCTCCCTGCTGCAAAAATACAGTCGTTTTTCCATTGCCAGATGTTGCCTCCTCATAAAACCGCCCCTCTCATCAACCATGACACCCTGAATACATAATGCCTCTACTACCTCCTGTTGAGTAGAAAAGAAGCAGCCTTCCTTAAGACTGATTCCAATTTACACTTGGAAAAGATGAAGCGTAGACAGCAGGAGTAAAGCCACATCAGCTCCCAGGCAAGTGCCAAACTGCGCCGAGCGGCGGGATTAGCAGGACATTTTCGACTAAACTCCGCGATGTGATGGTTCCCGTCCATCTGCAGCCAGTGAAAACAGGAATTAAACAGGCTATTGGATTAGCTTTAGCGCGTTTATAGGTTTGGCGCATTGTGTGGCAGGCTACTGTCACTAAGATGACAAACAGCTGTATGAAAAAAAGGACCGACTGGATTTGACTTCAGAGATTCAACCCCTGCGGGCACAACAATGAATGGAGGTTGAACGGGAAATAAATATGCCTGCGGCTTAGCAAGAGCCTCTTAAACCACAGTCTAAAAGACCTCTCTGGATGTTTCGACAAGCACAAGAATCTTCCCCCTCTATCCCATTATTCCCTGCCTCATCCACCCAGTGTGTTACTTTGCTCCACCTCTCGCGCTGGTGCTTCGACAATTTTTTGCATGAGAGCTCTTCTAAAAGTCTTTGGGGGGAAAAAAAGGGAAATATATATATATAACTGTAGCCTGGCAGGCTTGGTTTTATAGCGAAGAGATTATTAAATTGTCCTTTTCTGATTAATCCCTTCACACCATCTACCACTGTGCTATTTCCGCCTGTATCTATTTATTATGTAAGGCTGGAAGCTGGCAGCCTGGGACAATGGCAAGCAAGTCTAGGTTTGTAGGACAGAGGATTTAGTCAACTCTCCCCAACTTTTGAAAAGTGAGAACTGTGTTTTCAGCTGAACAAGGATGTGCAGTGGATAAACCCACAGAGAAATACCTCCTTATTGTGAAAGATCATGTTACTTTAAAGAAGTAAGGGGTTTTGGCCAAGAGGGTAGCTCAGGTTACTGCGATGGACTGGTGGACTGTCCAGGCTGTACCCCGCCTCTCGACCATTGACCACTGGGATAGGCTCCAGTTCTCCCCGCGACCCCCATTAGGGAATAAGCGGTAACGATAATGGATGGATGCACGGATGGATGGTAGCTCGGGTTATTTGAAAATAATGATTTGTTTGGATAGAAGGGCATCGTGGTCCTTCTTTGACTGCTAATATGACTGGAGAAAAGTGTACTTCGAGTAAAGTGAGAATTTTGAGTATCTATGTGACCAATTTAATCCTTATCTATTTGATTTGTTCAGTAGCCATAAATGAAGTTGTTATCTCCGGATGTCAAATGAAAGCAAACACATTCAGTTTGCTATTTTAATAGTAAATCAGGTGTAAATCTATTTGTCCATAAAACTGAATTATCTTAAAGTCCATCAGATGGAATATCTTTGAACAAAAGAGAAAAGTTTGATCATTTGAGCATTGATTTGTTTAATAGCATTAATCCTTTTTATGCTGGTAATACAAATAATTAGCATTATTAGATTCATTTTGAGAGTGTAATTACATTTTTGGTATGACATGAAATGATTTTAAAATGCCCCTGAGAGTGGATGTGCAATTTCCAACACCAAACTGCAAAATATGCTGCGAGTGGCAACTGTCAGAGTTCCATCCATATGGCTTACTTCAACCACGGCGATTCACAATTAACACCTGCCCGAAAAACATTCCAAAAAGGGGTCAACTAACAACCCAACCAAAGGACTTTTATGTCTCTCTATAAGCAGTGTCACAAAAAAGATGGTAGAGATTGTGCATTTTAATTTTAATTTCCTTTTTTGCAAACATGTCCAATACTATTTATTCAAAGTCGGGGCACTTCTGAAAAGTTGTCTAACAGCATGGGTTACTCATTAATTTACTGACCCGCACTATTATCCTTTTTTTGAGGCCACGAAATGACACATGGCCTTTGGTAGGTGTTGAATAGTAAGGAGCTCTTAGTCAGAAGAGAAGCTGACTACTAATGGTGCTGCTGGCTGTATTTCAATATGCTTTGGATGACATCCAACCTCTGATTTTAAAGCTGTGGGAGATCAATACAAGCTAAGAATACATGGATTGGGTGGCGAATCTCTCAACAGACCTGCCAAAGACCCTCTCGCCTCCATTCCACCCCTCCTTCTTTTCCTTCTTTTTAAACAACAAGATGAGAAAACCCATAATTGACTGTGATCTCTTTTCCCGTTAGAATATAAGGCAAATCAATCGGCCCATTTCTTTCATTAAATCTCTGTCCCTCCCTCCATCTAAAGGGGTTGATGGGGCCGATGTGAGCAGTGAGCAAAGATAAAACAAAAACACATGACCCACCCTCACCCCAAA